AAAAAAATGTACAGTACGTAGATCATTTATACTTACTACAGTACTAGATGATACTGCTACGTGACACTGCATTTAGTATCACAAGGCTCAAGTTCTAAAGCACCTTTTGATATTGCTCCAGAGGTTTTGTATACAAATGGAAAGGAATACACTCAAAAATCAGATATTTATTCTTTCGGAATAATTATGCCAGAAGTTTTTATTGGATATCCTCCATATTATGATATTCCACATGATGATAAACTAGCAATTCAAATTTGTTATGGTCTTATACCTAAAATTAGTTGTGAAGTTCTTTTGGATCTGTTGAATAAATGCTTAGATGCAGAACCTCAAAACCGCCCAACTGCTAGAGAATCATCTAATACCTGAATCAGTTTTTTAAACAAATTGAAGAAATCAAAAATTAGACGAAAATTTCTTATCACATTATCAAGTAAACCAACACTGCTCAAATATCAGACACATCCACAAGCTACTTATACAAGTCGATTATTAAATCTTTCAAAACTCCCTAAACCAGGTAATAACGTTTATTTATTATATTTTTAAAGGTAATAATATTAACTATAAAACTTTCGAATCTGTCAATATAGTAAATGCAGGTAATGATATTTATTTTCTTAAATTGGATTTAAACTGTAATTTCAATATATTTATATATACATATTTTAGTTAGTGAACCCATTAAAAACGTTGAAGTTCCCGACGGTAAGTAATATTTGATTTACTTATAATTAAACAAATTTATTGCTTATTTTTCTATTGGTATTTAGATTATTAAATCAAGTCGGAGTATTCTATTTGTTATTTCATGCTGCAATAATTCAAAGGTTGTTATATATATTCGTGTATACGTACCTAAAGGGATAACTATTTCGTTAACAACTGTTTTGCAGACAAGGTTGGCCGATTTAGGTTAGTTTAGTGCTAGATTGTTGGTGAAATGGTGGTTAGCAAGTTCTATTAAAAATGTTATATAATAAAAATTACTAAATTCAAATACTGTATATAAATTTATTAAATGAATATTGAAATAATAAATATTAAAATTATCTTTATTACTGTTGTTAGTGGTAGCCTTGTTATAAATAAAATTAAACGGTGTCGTTACCTCAACTTTAACAGACAAAAAGTACGAAATTGAGAAAAGACTTATGCGACCAAATACTTAGGCCAAAAATTCGAGGCAAAAAATTCAAGGCAAAGAAGCTTGAATCTATTCAACGCGAACAGTTGGTGAACATGAACAGAAAGTATCACTAAACTCAAGTAAATATAATTCAAAACTTTTTGAATTTTCCATCTTAATTATACTAATTGTTCTTTTTGCCTTTATTTCTTTCATTCATTTTCTTTGTTTCTTAATTATAATAATTGTTCTTTTTTTCTTAATTTCTTTCGTTCATATTAAGTATACTAATTGTTCTCTTTTCTTCATTTCTTTCATCCGTACTAAGTGTACTAATTGTTTCATTTCCTTTTATTTCATGTAAAGTCACGGAAATTTTCTTTACATTTTCACGCTTTGCATAGTTTTTTCTAACGTTCGGAGTTAAACATAAATGGGTTTTACTAATTTTTGAATCAGTGGCTCTGAACCAAAAGAACGTCGGACCATAAAGGCAAGAATGCTATTTTAGGTCACAGTATCAAAGCTAGAGTGTGTGGCATAGCAAAAAAATTTGGCATGCCATCAGCTAAAATTTATGCTATGCCACACTATGGGCATGCCATTGGCATGCCATAATATAATTGAACCATCTTCCGGAATATTTTAGACCTTTGCTCTAATTTTTCTCTTGTAATTTTATGTTGTCTGATTTTCTACTCAGAATATTTCGGAATATCCAAATATCAGTTTAGCCAGAGCAAGATGTATCATATAAGTGGCATGCCTATGGACTATTTTTGTTTTGGGCATGCCACTACTGGCATGCCATGATGGCATGTCCATGACTATCGTGCCACACACCCTAATCAAAGCACAAAATTATACTGCAAAATGCAGAAAATTCTGAAAAATTCCAGCACAAATTTGATAGTCAGACTATAGGTTCTAAAACTGTACCGCATCATTATCGCTATGTAACTAAATGCAGTGTCACGTAGCAGTATCATCTAGTACTGTAGTAAGTATAAATGATCTACGTACTGTACATTTTTTT